AACGTATGCATATTTCGTCTTCATCAAGACGGAATAAGAAGGGGAGTCGGGAAAAGACAATAACAAGATAAGCCGAGTATTTTACAATAAAATAATTGCTGTATAGTCATCGGAAAAGTTACAGAAAAAACTGCCATATGTATACTAAACACCTGAACAAATCCCTAACCCAGCAAAATGATACACGTCATGCTCATCGAATCTCTTTGTATCAGCAAATTCATATCTCAAATCACCGTTCAGATTTCCATTCTCCCTGACTGCTCTTATCTCATTTTCTTCTCCATTGTTATATTCTTTGTCGTGTGGAGGAGATGCCAAAGGTGATGTCGTAGGAGAAAATCTTCCATCCAATTCGTTGCTTACATATATTTCGCCACTCGGACTCTGTGAAAGATCTGGTTCCCAATAAAGAAAATTGGCCGTACTGGCGCCTTGCGGTGTTCCTAAGACTGGAAAAGGGGACACATAATCGCACAAAGTATTCGGAGAAGACCAGTCTGTAGGCGAATTTGGAGATAATTTTGGAGTAGCATACAATTGTGATTCCATCGAGACGTTAAGAGGCTGCATGCCGTTAACGTGTGGCTCATTGCCGATAAATTGGGATTGAGTGTCGGTACCAGAGTCACTTGATGAAGACTGGTAACTTGTGTAATGGTAATCCGAAAAATCGTTAGACGGAATAGTAATATCCATTATATCGTCATTTTCCGTCGTCGCATCGAAATGATTTTGGCTGTGAGGAGATGACTGTTCTGAAAATATCAATTGAGAATCGTGACAAGTTTTTCTATAGTCTTCTAGTGCCTGGATCACGTGATCGAGTTTGAACTGTTTGAGAAGCTCTATCGTGAGCTTGTAGTAACGCTCGGCAGTCGATATATCACCTTTACAACTGAAAATGTTCCAGGCATGAACTTTTCCTGTCTGCAGAAGACACCAGGTAATGCAACTTGTAATAGTACGGAGAGGACTGCGGAGGAGGGTGTGACAAAGTTGAGTTGCGCAATGAAGGTGCAGCAACTGCATATCGTCGTCAATAATTCGAAGATATTGTGACCAATCGTTCAATTGACTTTCGAAATTAGCAATAATGGCTACAATCGACTCATCGTAACTCGTCCCCGACTGATTTGAATAAATATGTTTGGTCAACCGATGAAGCAACCGTGCGAATCGAACATTATGTGCAAATTTAACCAGTGAGCCATTTTCAGTTAATTCCATTTCGTCTGTTTCCAATTCGCATTCAGCTACGTCAAAGTCGTCTTCGTTAATATTTGATTCACAGTTCTCCCAGCTGATAAACACATCCAACAAAAATAATGACCACCAAATACGCTTTCGCAATTCCTTTTCAGCCACACTAAGAATTGAGTCAGCACGGCTTTTGCTGAGACCTAATTCGAAGGCCATTTTAATAGCCATGCTTATATATAATTTCTCCTGAAATGTAGGATATTCGGGAATATTATCTTTCTTCGAATACTGTTGATGTCTCTTGAAAACACATAAGAGAATAAGAGCTTGGATGGTAGATATTCTGGGTGCATCCAAGAATGGACCAAGAAGCGCCTCTGCACGTTCGAAGTGTAGCGAATCGGCATTAGTGGTGTTTTCCGAAAAAAGGGCAGAAATTGCATACATGGCTTCAAGTAGTAGCAACGTTGGCGGATTTAACGGGTCTTTGAAGAGTTTTTTGTTCAGAATCGGAACTTGTGGATGTACATGGATCCAGTATTTTTCCAAGAGCTCGTTGTCGTATTCGTTACTCAAGACTTCTTCGAATTTGGGATCCCGCTGAGTATCCACATAATCCCAATGGGATGCTAAATTAAAAATATCAATTTTAAAAAATCGAATTGCACTGTGTTACGTTAATTGCTATAAAAAGTGTTTCCGTACCCGTAATAGGATATTCCGTATTTTCATTGATTGGGCGTTTTTGACTCCCTCTAATGTCGGCGGTTATATCTCCATTGTGATACACTGCGCCTTGTGCTTCTATCTGTTGTTCTCTTTGGCGAGAAGGCTTTATGCGTCGTCTTTTGGGTGCAGATGCATTTGCAATTGAATTAGACGGTGTAGTAAGCACCGTAGAGGTTAGACCCTGAGACTTGTTGCTGTTCGGTACGCTTTCTGCATCCTTTTTAATTGGTTGGTATTTGCACTCCATGTTGTGTCTTCTGCAACTAGCACAGCTTGGGTTGAGACCGTCACATTTGATCTTTCTTTGACGGCAGAATACGCAAGCCATTTGACACCTCTGTCGTTTGGTTGAGAACGGGTCGTCCATGAAAACGTAGTTGCTCATTTTGGTAATAAAAATCGTGAGAAAACAGGCCAATCTTGATACTAATTTGGGGTATGTTTTGGACGGTCTGATATCATTCAAAATTTATGCGGGATTCGTAATCCGACAATTTCTTGCAATAGCGAATAATTGTAACAAACTGGTCGTGGATGGATGGAACAGGGGAACGTAGTATATATATGCTTGTTATATAATGACTGTGTGAAGCATGGAATGGTAATATACTCTGTCCACAAGAAACTAATAACTGAGAGTGCGTCAGATAAATTAATTGTACAAAGAGGGAGGAAGATCAATTACAGGGACGATCAGGGGACAACGAAAGTGATATGAACGAGAATGACCGAGAGCAGTTTCTTCCTCCAAGTCTGCCTCTGATCTGAATTTTTGAGACGAGTCTACTGATGACATCGGCCTTATTTATGTTAGTCAGGTACTACAAAGCATTTCTTCAAATCCTTATTGAGAAGATGCTCGGTTTAGAATGTTACACGATTACAGTATATTTTCGTAACATATTTGTGTGGCCTCGGAGTAAGTTGTATAATGAGGAATGTTGTAGTAAAGCACCATTTATTCTGAGCAAATGACACAGCTTGTTGGTAGGCCATTAAATCTAGACATTCGATATTGAGAGAGAACGAAACTTTAGCATATTGTTTACATGTAAGCTGCATAATGATGAAAGCTATTGAAAATATGTTATGTTATTGTTACAATATGCAATAACGTACCAGTTACTGATTTAATGACTGATATCGTCACTTGTGCTCATTGAGACGTTCCATAATATTTGTCTCGTATTATGTTACATTACATGAGGCACTAAATATTGTCTTGCTCGATGTAAATCTTAGTGTAATGTTGACTATCATGCTTTCATTGTTTTAGTCGCAGTGTTCTTTGTATTGGAAAGAAAGAAAATCTTAAATTTGCATGTTTTATGACGCGCGCTCACTCTAGTTTAATATAACAACTAGATACCGTCCATTTAGTAAAGTCGTTTATTCGCGTTATAACATAATGGTAAGGAAGATTTTCATTATAATGTTCGATGTCAGGTATTGGTTCCTTGACTAAAACAATAATTGGACACCATCAACGATAATTCTTTATTAACAAATATGACGACATCATTGTGAATCTACAAATTCGGATACCAATAAATTACTATTACCATAAGCGGTATTGTTATTAATAACTCGACCGCTCCAGAATAGCACGTTTTATGTTTGTTTATTTATGTTAACAAACAAACATACTTTATGTGAAGAACATGATGCCTTAGTACGATTAGACGTAAATCTAAAAACTCGGTTAACAACAGCAAACAAGCCGTTAACAACAAGAACAAGAACATATAATAAACAGGAGAAAACGTTGGGGCTCTTTTTTCTTTTCGATCGAATAAACGGTGAATTTTTCTTATCAATGGTATCATCTAATGTCATTAACATTCCAGCCTTATCATCCCAATGCGGATACAACCTAGATTCCAGATGCAATCACTAAACACCATTTGCCATCATAACTCCCTTGCTTTATTTTTCGGGTTTACTATTATTAATTGTTTAATTGTATTAACAATAAACTGACGGAACGTCTTAAAATAAGCTTAAATAGTCTTGGTTATCTAATTAAACAGTTGACAATTTGCGACTGTTAATCCTATCTGCAAAGCATCTAGGTTAATTCTTTTCATTTATTATTAAAGAAAAACGTTATCTTTTTAATATAGTTGCATGCTCTCGCTTGCTTGCTTATTTTCTATACTCGGAGTCATTTAAAATTTTCCGACGGCAAGTATGCGAATGCATGAATAGAGCGGCTGCTAACAGTGATACACACAAGCATTAGAGAGATACAGTAAGAGAAGACATCGGCAAGAAGCAGATATTTGTTTATACAGAGTACAAACACGGATAACTTCAAATAAACCTAAATTAGTGTGATGTACTTATTGTGTATCGGTCAATATAGCGAATAAATAGAAATCAAAATGCATCAAGTTCAAGTTTTATAACAAGTGTTAAAACATTATCGATCGCACTGACTTTCATGACCATGTCTCCGGAAGTAAACTGCGAGTCAATTGACGATCATGGCGATGCATATATCATTACCATATATAGAGCTGCTTATCGTACTCGTTAGGGAAACGGCTACTTAACTTTTACAGTTGTCAGTCCATTCAGTCTAGTAACACTGACGATCTTTTTTTTTTTACGAATCGAACCTGTTGTCCCTACATTTTTCTTTTTTTATCACTTTCCGTTAGCATTTAATGTTGTGTTTTGATGCACTACAGTGGTGATAAACTTTGTTTATTTTGTTGTACACTTGACAGCCGAACATGACTTCATTGTCATACACTGAACTAACCTAATTCACAATACAATTCAAAATTACCCAATGTCCAGGAATCCCCCTTGTTAGTGCATCACAAGGATTTGTTGTGGCTCCGAGATGATATGATTGGCGGGGACAAATTCGTTGTTATAAAAATAGTATCCGGATGTGGCCATGCAAGCCACCGGACGGTAGCGACGGCTGGTGATAATTACTCGTTCTATGCACAAAGAGTAAACTTTTCTTTACACATGGAACTCAATACACATATCAGTATGAAATTTGATTCTGACATCATTCTCTCTCTTTTTTTTTTTTTCGGGATATGCCATGCACTATTTAATCTTATTCTGTGAGTTCGTCACATCCAATACTCTTTAAACCAAGGGAATTAAAATTCAAATTCAGCACTTTAAAATAATTACGTTATCGCCAACATTGTTTACGTTTATGTGTAACGAATGCTCCGTGAGAATAACATAATGCCTTATCTGAATTCAAAGAAATAGATTCAAGAGTGCTTTTTTTAAGGCTTCAAAGGATTATCACGATGCTTACGTGCATATATTTTTTTACTTGCTCCCAGTAGTTTTCAATATCTATTATGTACTACCTGCAGCTCAAATTTCAGCGCAACATAAACAAAACAAGAAGCTCAGGGGGGTTTTCTTGTCAGCAAGCTCCAATGCAGTGGTCTAACGTATGTGTGATACTCATAATTGATGCAAAACACCAATTGTTTTCATTATTAATTGTCATTAGATTAGGGCTTCAAAAAGAAACACTCACTCTTATTTAAAATAACGTGTATTTCATTTTGACATCTTCTTATTTCCATAACCTAAAACAGCCTTGTAGGCAACGACTCCTCAACTACATTGCGTCGTCAAACATCCCATCAACTCCAGACTAATATGTTTTACGCTCGATGCGGAAATTATTTGCCCAATAATTATAACTGATCTTGTAATTCAAACGAGCGGTAATATATTATTACAAATTCCTATTGGAATGCCTAAGATAAGAATTATCTATCAAACGGTGAATGGTCTGCTGATCTATATTAATGGTTGCAGAAAGTGATATGCCAGAAGCATGGTTCTTCTGTTCGAATCTATAGCGGAATATTCGATACAAGTGTTTGCTCACAAAGTGGTTGTTAGTAAGAACATGGACAGTTAAGAACTTTAGTATAATAATCGAATATCGCACTATCTGCATAATATTAATAGTTGCTAGAAAACTTTTTAAGCTCTATCCGATGGTTCTTAATGGATGAATGAGAGATTGCACTGTTTTTGTTGGCTACATTTATAATACCATTTATGCACAACGTATCAACATATCACAATCAAACTAATCAAGTTAAATAAAACATAATGCCAGTATAGCGGGTATTGCAAACTCAAGTATAGAAGATTAGTACTACTCTGCGTCAGATTTATTAATCTTCTTGATAATTATAAAGAAATTATTAATTAGAACCTTCACGATAGGTTCGCTGTCCCTTTTACTCGTTTCACGTAAACAACGGTTTATCGCAAACGTGAAGGTTCCATGTGGTTGACTCATTTCTTCAACGTGGCAAAGCCGTCACCTGGACTGTTAATCAACTGTGTTATTAGAATTAAGCACAAGCATGCATACATACTAAAATCATAGTGCTGACACTCTCAAATTTGCTTACTTGACAACACTAACAGTATTGTTGATCTGACTATAACATACTGTAGTCTACAGTTACTGTACATAAGCAAAGCCATTATGTCGGTGGAGAAATCTCTGGGCATATTCATCGACAGGCCGAAGAAAGTATTATATATACTTGTTACACTGAACTTATCCGTCTACAATTAATAATTAACCTAAACTACAATAAATGTTTAATCACGCAGCTGCAGTAATTTGCTACCAGTAAAACTAATTATCTGCTTGATATACCAATCAAATCTCTAAGTCCTTATTCACGTCTGCAAAAAAAAAAAAAACAAAACAAAAAAAAAAACCAAGAACAAGAGTACGGAAAATAAAAGAGTAGTTAATATAAACGAGTAAACATAATTTGTATATGGTAGTGTCGCTCCTAATGGCAATAGTCAAATTAGAAATGTAAGTTAGTAAAGTGTGGAAGATTAAAATATTGCAGGAGACAATTAAAGACTTTTTCCTATAGTAGTGTCGTATGTCATCGATTAGAACAATACAGGATGGAAATGACAATGTAGCATGTAATCTTTGTGTTTCATACCAATACTGTTTACGTTGCACATCGATACTATTTTTGAGCAGAAGAGAGAATTTTAGTGATGGGTGGTTAATTGCAATATTGTACCATTAAAGTTCAGTAAGACTATTTATTATTAGCATGCATATAAAATTAGATTAATTACTTTTCTTCCCAAAAAAATCTGTTATCATTCATATTTGTTCAAGGAAATGAGAAAGCTTTCTGTTATTTGACTTCTTTACACAGTTTTTGGTAGTTTAATTATTTTCAGTTTATAGCTTAAGCGGATATCATACTAATCCGGGCAAAAGCATCTGACACTACCCCGACACCCCCCAATAATTGTGCAGTTATATTAACCCTCCAATAGAGTCCTTTGTAATGCATATTCTCCATGTTCTGCATTGCACGGTCTTCACATCCC